TTACAAAGACAATTGAACAAAATCAAAAAATGATGCCAAAGGAATTTGGAAGGCATCCTATTAATATCCAAAAATACTACTCTGCTTTTAAAGCAGAAGATTGGTATAACTGGATAGTTTTATATTCAATTTCACTTCTTTATGACTATTTACCTGAGAGATATATAAATGGGTGGGCAAAATTTGTTAAAGCAACTCAACTTTGCCTTAAACCAGTTATTTCTAAACAAGAACTTGAAGAAATCTAAACACTTTTTGTTGGATTTATTCACCACTATGAAAATGAATATTATCAAAGAGATTCTGATAGATTACCAGCAACTCTTATCAGCTTTCATTACCTTTTACATATAATGAAATCAATTCAAGAAACAGGTCCACCATGGTCAACATGGCAATTCCCAATGGAAGGATTATGTAGGATGTTAATACCTTTAGTTCATTCCAGGCAGCATTCATATACAAATCTCATAAATCAAATAATCATGTGGACACAATTTGCACACTTGTAATACAATCCTGAATATAATCAGAAAATCTTTAGTATTTTTCAAGAAGAAACTAAAATTCTACCTCTGGAACGTGCTTTTAATTTTTCAACAACTGAAGAGGAATTACATTCACCATCTCAAAAGTATAATATGATAAAGACAGAAGTTCGAAAGGTTAAGCAATACTATGCAACTGCATTAGATTTAATGATGAATGAAGTAAGTAAAATTATTGAACATATTCAAAAATATGGCAAGCCGAGAACTAAATCTGAAGCACTAATTAGCTCAAAACTAGTTAACCGTAAAGGTGATATTGCTCGCAATAACTATTCAATTGCTGCAAAGCTTTTAGTTAACAAAAATGCACACCTACTAAAAGCACATTATGACTTTAAAGAGCACGAGTTTTATGGTCAAGTTTTATACTATTTTATATATGAATTTAACAATGAGTTATCAATGCTTGCTTTTGTACAGTGGATACGAAGATCAGAAATATTAGGCAACAATATACAATATTTCATAACTTTGGTGAAACAAGTGTTATCAATGTAACTGCCATTGATTGATGTGTAGGATTTCTTGAAGTAGCAGCAAACAATCATATTATAATTAATAGAGAAAATTGGGTTACATTTAGATGATATTCATTCTATTCATTAAAAAAATTTAGAATTTGGGTGTTATTCGGGTCATTTTATTAGATTTCAAAATAAAATTTTGAAAATTTCAGAGTATAATCTGAGCATTTTCAAACTGAATATAAAATCTAAAGATGGTATAGCAATTGATTTCAAATTTACAAAATGTTGCAACATAAGCTAAAATTAGTTGCAACATATGTTG